TATTGTTAGATAGATTTGAGACTTCATAGGTTAATTATCTGTGTATCCCAGGTATTCTTTTTATTATATTTTTCATTGAGGTATGTTATTTTTGTACATATTGTGGTCAACATCTTCAAGATTATATTTTACAAAGCTCAAGATTTCTTAAATTACAGTAACTTGAATTTTTAAAAACTTTTATTTTCTAATTGTATTCCCTCCCTTAAAAAAAATTACTGTTGTTCAAGTACTGTTGTCTCCATTTTCCCAGCACCACTTTCCCTTGCTCCTCCAACCCCCAATCCTTTTCTTTGGCTTTGTCCATGGGTCTTTTATACATGTTCCTTGACAACCTTTCTCCTTCTTTCCCCTTTGTTTTCCCTCTTTTTTGACTTAAGTGCCAAAATATCTCTTTAAGTATTTCTGAGTAATCTAATTAGAAAGTTTGTTCTCTTAGTTTCCTGAATTATTAGAATCAATAATTCTAGTACTTCATTATTTTTTGTGTGTCATTGTTTTACCTGGAAGTTTGTTAGCAATTTCTCTCCAATAGATCTGGCACGTTTGGAATACAACTGTTAAGTTGGCAACTATGAGGTTTCACTTTCACTTATGTGTATAGGAAACATGACATCTGACTGCTTCCAAACATACATGTATACACCCTACATAATGATGAGGGTGTTACTAGGACAACCCAGTTCCAAATTCAGGAGCCCTAATCCTTACTGAGGTGGCATGAGATTATTTATTCACTCATTTTTAGATGGTAGAGAAGCAAAACACCAACGTGTCAGCACCTATACTTCTTTGCGTGTACAGTAGATGGGCAGTAGTTCAAACAGATGCAGCTGTTCTTGAGATGGACATTTAAAACACCTAATGTCATATTTCCCCTCCTGTTTACCATTTCCATTCCTTCCTACCTTAGAGTGTGAAGCTTTGATGGAAAGAACAACTCCTGTGCTCCTGTTCCTATTTCCCGAGGCTCTTTTTCTGAAACGTGGCTTCCTCTGGTCTCCTTTATGCATTGGCTTATTTCCATCTCTTCCTTGTCTTTTAAAAACTTATCTCAAATTCTGACATGCTGATGAGCAGCTCATCATCACCAAGACTTACTTTTATGTGTTTTTAACACTGATGTGCATTTTCTAATTTTTTAATTTCTGACAGACTTTGCAAAAGTGGAGGGGAGGAAACCTATGCTGAGGTTGGCATTTTCATGTGCTACTTTTTAAATGGGAAATTTAATAGTAGTAATATTAGTCAGTATAGCATAATATTGATAACATGACCTAATAATGTTTTCTATTCATTTTACTAGTATTTAATAGCATATAATTAATGATAACAATTATATTTTGTAAATACATATATAAATATAATTTGTACATAAATGTTTTATTTACTACTTAATAATGTTTAATGGATATTGGTATGTCTTAATACTTAAAATATACTTTGTATATTTAACTGTATTATTAATAATTGTAATTTAGAATTTAATATAAAACCAGATACATATGCATATGTAATAAGGAGAATGCAATCAATTTTTAAATTGTTAAGTTCAGCTACATTCTTAGTAGTTTTTTGAAGTCCCCAAAAATAGTATGCTCTCAAAACATTAGCATTTGAAGAAAAAGAAAACTATTCCATTTTTGGTATATCACTTAAACTGATTTATTGTTTCAAAGCTTACTATTTGGGGGGGCAGAAGATCTTTACTTGAAAAGTTGCAAGGTGGGTAATATTGTTGCACTTCCGATAAGGTTTGGTATATTTATATATTTGAATTAATCTTTTGGTGGTTTGTGGGTCAATCTTGTCAGTCAAAATATTTTCTTTTATTTATACTGTGTCAGCTCTATGACTATTTTTCTCAGCACTTATTTAAGTATATATATTTTGTCACATTCATCATTCATTAAAGTGCAATTTCTGAATTTTTGGTGATTTGGGAGGGGGCAGCAGGAAACTGGAAAGTGGTCCATGTAAGTTGTCACTGCTTTCGGAGCGCTACCTGATTTTGACCAGTAGAGATGAGCCTATTTTTTAAAATAACCCACTTGCCGTCTTTCTCCATTTTTGTGCACTTTAGTTTTTAATCACCTCACTCACACACACTTGATATCTACTGACAAACATACTGTATTTCCACTTATGGCAGTTCTGAGTGATATAAGAAATGTGTTTTATACCACATAACTTGAAATTGCCAAATGCCAAACTTGTATGCTAATCACTTTTCACCCTGATTAGCATTTGAACTATGTTAGTGGAGTATTAAATGAAAAGGAAATGAATACCAATTTGTCGCAATTTTGTTCATAATTTTAGTGCTCCAGTAAAATTTAGACTCCAGTAAAGTATCCCCAAGTGTTGACCTGAAAAGATCTGTCATTAACATTTAAGAATTCACTGCCTCTGCTTTTCATGAAACATCTAAATGAGTAGAGTCATGAATTTATTTGGGTTTAGGGCATTTCTCCTTATCTTTGGGATGCACATTTTGTTTCTAATAAGGATATCATGACTTGTGTGATGCTTTTATCTTTTTTAAATATCACAGAATGTGATCATTTGCTTCTTTTTACATATATGGAATTTTTAACATTTAGTGGTTTGTATTCTATGTTCCTCTTTGTAAATAAAACAGTTAAATGTAAATCTAAATATTAAGAAGTCCTAATTTTTTGTTTTTAATTTTCCAACCGTAATTAATTCTCATGGCTTTGTAATATATTTATTTTAAATTTAAGATTTAAAAATGATAAACCTTATTAGGAAAAATTTAGATCAGATTAAAACAATTTTTATAAAGTCAGCATTGTGTTTGCTGTTTAGATAATACAACCAATGATTATAATACACTGTAGTCACATCTTAAGATAACCTCTGAAATATGCAGAAGCACTGAAGGGTAAGAGTTAATAAAGCTGCAATCTTCATTCATATTTTACTGGCCATTTTATTCAATGACTCATTAATTATTTTTCTGGTAACATTTTTGATGATGTCCAGGTTTTTGTGGTTCTTTTATTATTGCTTGTTTTAACACACAGTTTATGTAGCCAATTGTGATACAACAATGACAACAACAATAAATATTAGCTATTGGCAGCTGAGTGCTTGCTATGTTTCAAATAATTTTGTTTGGCGCTTTATGTACGTTGTTTCATTTAACTGCCAAATAGATCCATGTATTGTTGTTATGACTTAGGTAGCACAACAGCAGAACAGTTACATTGCCTGTTCAAGGTCATATGACTCTACTGGGCAGGGCTAGAATTTCTGCCCAAGCCTTCCTAACTCCAAAGTGATTGCTTTAATGCCCCATAGTATCCTGGACTTGCTTAAATTTACACACACACACACACACACGCGCATACATACATGCATTTTTCTGGAGGTCTGTCCAGAAAATGTCCAGCCAGTTACTATAATGAGAATGTTTTGCAAGACATCAATGTAACCTGGCAGCCAAGGAAAGCGGACTGGAAAGTGAATGCTGGAACAATGACAACTTCACTGCACTAGTTAGTGGGAGCGATAGATTCCTTTGAGTGAGCAAGTGTACTGTGTGTTGCATTCAAAATGTCTGAGCAAGTAGAACAATGAAACTGCATCAAATTTTGCATTAAGATTGAACATTCCTCTCGGAAACTGGATGATTCAGAAGGCCACAGATAAAGGCAACTGGTGATTGGCAGCTTTGTCGTGATAATACACCCACTCATGCATCACATCTCGTGAAGTTTTTTGGCAAAATATCAAGTCACCGAGGTGACTCAACCCCCATGCAGCCCTTTTGGCTTTTCCCACAACTGAAATCACCTTTGAAAAAGAAGAGATTTCAGACCATCGATAAGATTCAGGGAAACACAACAGGGCAGCTGATGGCAATTGGGAGAACTGTGTGATCTCAAGGTGCCTACTTTGAAGGGGACTGAGGTGTCATTGTCCTGTGTACAGTTTCTTGTATCTTCTTCCATAAAGGTCTCTATTTTTTGTATTATATGACTGGATACCTTCTGGATACACACACACACACACACACTCAATTAAATAATTAAATTTATTAAGGTAATGCCAGTTAATACGATTATATTGGTCTCAAGTACAGATTTCTATGACTCATGATTTGTATATTGCATTGTGTGCCTGCCACTCAAAGTCTAATTATCTTCTGTCAACATGCATGTGGCTCCATTTACCCTTACCTTTCTCCCACCCCTTCCCATATTTAAGAAATATATTCGTATTATTTAAGTATTATTCAGAACCTTTTGTCATAAAAAGTTAAAATGATATGTGTCTCAAACAATCCTGATAATAATAGCAGCTATTTTACTGGGTAAGAAGAAGCATTGATCATTTTACATAAGTTATGAAATGTACTCCTCACAGCCATCACAAAAATTAGGAACGCAACTTTAGCATTGAGGATAGTTACATTGGTAGAATGAAACAAATTTTGAACTCTAGTTGTTCTGAAACCTAAGATTTTAACTCACGCCCAATCTTTCTCCCAAATATGATGCCTTGATCTTATCCAAGTCCCATGATAACATTTTTTATTTCATTCACATCTTCTCAAAGCTCGTTTGCATTGTCCAATACCATCTTTGCTATTTTGCTTGTATTAGTAAAATGAAAAACTTACATAATATGACATAATAACAAATATTAATGACAAATATCATAGAAATATATATTTCATTTTGTTTTAGAATTAGAGTCATGGTTAATATTTTGATGGATCATCTTTCTAAAGGTATAACATATATTTCCTTTTTGAGGGCTTTTTTGCTGCATGGTCTTTGAAATGTAAGATAATATTGTTATGTTACACAGTAAATTATAAAGTAAAAACCACATTAGGTTTGAATACCATTTTGATTTTGGGAAACCAAGATTACTTTTACTGATTTTTTTTAGAGCTTGCCTTGAGGCAACAAACTGATTTTTTTCATTTTTAATGCTGTTTTGTTTTTCTCATTTACTATTTTACTCAGATATCCCCTGGACTCCATCCTGGATCTACTCTGATTCCAATGAACAGCATTTCTCTGCCACAAGGAGAGGATGATTACGGTTATCAGTGTTTGGAGGGCAAAGATTGTGCCAGCTTCTTCTGTTGCTTTGAAGACTGCAAAACGGGGTCATGGAGGGAAGGGAGGGTCCACATACGCATCGCCAAAATTGATTCTTACTCGCGAATATTTTTCCCAACAGCTTTTGCCCTGTTTAATCTGGTTTATTGGGTTGGTTATCTTTACTTATAAATTCTACTTACTAGGAAGAAATCATAAGAAGTTTGAATAAATCCAATACAATCTACAGTGCTTCAGTAACATGAAGTTTAAATTTAAAATTCAGAGAAACTAATGACTAAAATGTGAATAATATGGTAACCATTTTAAGGCTTTCATAGGAAAGTCAAGTTTTCATATTAACTTACTTAAATTTATGAGATTCCTTGTATAATCCAGCCAATTAACTGTCATTATATATTTTTACTTGAATTTTATTTATTTTACTTACATCACATTTGGATTTTGAACTAAATTTCTTGATTTATATTTTAAAGATGGAGTAATTTTAATACATATTTTATTTAAATATAATATCTCTCTATATAGATGTATATGTGTATACACGTATACAGATATATATAGGAACCTAATCTAATGCCTAATATTTATGCAGTAATTTTTGCCTAGAAATATTGCTAATTGGATTTGTTTTCTTGCTTCTTATTTATATGCCTTGTTTGAAATAGAGCTAGTTAAAATCCTAAAGCCATGATTTCCTGGGATTCATTTTCAAGATCTTTTACTCCCAGAAAGAAATTAATAATTTTAAATTCTTTATTAATTAAAGAAGAAAACACAAATTTTTACATTGTTAAGTGGCCAGTTTGATCTGTGTTTTAATCAAGTCTGTTTCCTGACACAATATTAAATAGAACTCATTATGTTCTATTAATTTTTTAAAAATTATATTTATTGGGGTGACATGGGTTAATAAGATTATATAATTTATTTGTGATTTACAAACTAAGATGGAAACCACTGAAGTCACCTTTTTAAAACACAAGTTTAAAAAAATAAGAATGTTGCATTTAACCATTTTATTCTCTTTCACATTTATGTAGCATGAAGAAGTTAACCCTGAAATATTTAGCTCTACCAACACTGAGATTAAATGGAGAATTGTTTTTTCTGTATGTTCTACAAAAGTGTTTCATTCCTTATATTTAAAAAAAATACTGAGAAACAGTAATGCTTCATGTTAAAGAATTATTTCCTAGCAAATTGAGTGATAGTTCATATTGAAAGTATGGTCCTTAAACATGAACTATCAACATTTTTCAGACTAGAAATATCCTAGAAACAGTTTTAGGCATTTGCCGTACATTTCCTTTTCTATCTCCTAAGTTTGGACCCTGTCAGTTTTATTGACTTTGTTATAAATCCTTATGATGTTTTCTTTTCTAGGAAATGATAGCAATCCCAAAAGTCATGTTAAAGGTGAAGTATTACTGTTAGAGGCACCTTTAATGAACGTGACTATGGGAGCTCTCTAAATTGTTAAAGACAGGAGCAGAGACAGTTTCACTATATTTTAAAGCCTGTTGGTTAATAGTTTCCAGGATGTATCTTTTGTTAAAAAGATGTTAAATTTACACTTAAATCGTTATATTCTTGTAACTACTTTGGCATATCAATCATTTATAAGAAACCCATATGTTTGCATTACCATCAAATTCTCTAGAAAATCTCCAGAGTGATATTGGAGATAAAAATTTAAAATTGTTTCCATTGCCAAGAAAAATTATCAGGATGTTTCTTGATAAAGACCTATTTTATGTTAAGGAGATGAAGCTATCACCCATTCATTTAACACTCTAATTTTAATACAATTATTTGTTTACATGATTAGTGAATATGTGAGTGAGGGTCTGGCATGCTTATATGTATGTTTTTGGAACATAGTTTTTAAAAATCTGAATGTATTTCATTGTGTGCTCTCCAGCTATGTCTGAATTTTTTACTATGCTTATAAACTGCTGAAAAAATTAAGCATAAATTGAACAATATGCCCTAATATCCACCGACACTGCTTTTTTTGAATGGAGAGCCAAAGTAAACTTTGGCCATGTAATATATTCATTTGCAAATCATTCATGCATTCATTTTGCAATATTTAGTATTAATAGATATTCTTAATGTGAACATTAGTTTTGGGGTAAGTGAAAAATGAAGTACCCATGAAGAATAAAACACTCCACTAAAATGTATTATGTCTATTTCCATAATACATTTTCAAAGAGAATGCAGTTTTAAGTGACAAAGCTAATTCTGGGATGCTTTCAAGTCTATCTGAGCATGACTATATTTTTAAGATACTTAAAAGGGCTTAGTATAAATATTTTTGATTTTCTCATTGGTGTTCCATTAACTGGCTTTAAATGTTGACAATATTACAAATGGAAATAAAAGTGATAAAAACATAAAAGATGTTTTTCTATATACATCCATTGTATATACCATCAAAACAACAACTTTGTTTAAAAGTCAGTGGTATTTTGAACAGTTTTATTTAAATATGTAGATCAGAAATAGAGTATATAAATATTATTTCTAAAAGTGAGAATAAAAAGGTGAAAGTGCAGTGTGGTGATTCTTTTTATAAGAAATAAAGTAGAGCTTATTTTCAGAGGGAATGCAGTTGAATTTTTGGTCTTCTTTAAAAAAGGTTATCACCTTGAGAAATAATTTTTATAATTCTATCTCTTTTTCTAGTGAGTTATGTCTTAAATTGTTGGATTCTGGAACTTGTGTTTCCTAGTTGCTTTAAATGCTTTTAACACTCACCTAAAAAAGTGAATACAGAGAATGGGAAGGATAATTGTAGCTGAAGGATACAGAGTCATTTAGAAAAATGTTAATTCCTATGGACCATTCTCTAAATAAGTAACAAGGATATAGAAGTTATGAGAAAGGATGTTATGATTCATATAATTTTATCCTCTTGGATTTACAATGGCATGATAATATTTTATTTATTCTTCAATTACATAGATAAGCTTAGGCTCATTTGAAATTAATTTCTAAAATGCCAAGGAGTTTCTTAAAAAACAAACAAACAAAAAGTTATGTGGGAATTTATTAGGGAAAGGGAACGATTTCTTAATAAATTTGTCTAAATATAAACTTTTAATTTAAGTAAGAATTAGATAACTCATTGGATTCATTTTAAGTTAAAGACAGACATCACTGAGACATTTTAAAAGCTGATTAATATCAAGTTAAGGTACAGTAAATTTGTGTAAATAAATGGACAATCACCACGTTTTCTTTTTTTTTCTTTAATGTGTTCCCATATCCTGACATCAGTATAGAGTCATAACAAGTGCTGTATTGTTGCTGAAGAGCAAGGCCAAATCTGAGGGCAGCAGCATGCTTGCCAATGATTTATCATCACAAAAACTCCATAATAGTACTTCCACATAGACAGACTCATGATTGTAAAACTGTATTCCAAGTCAAATGTTGTAAGGAGATGCATCTTGTACTTTGATTCTACCAGGATAAATTTAAGTATCACATAATAAAAATAAGTACATATACAAAATTATTAAAGTTCTATACCAATGACTATTTTCACTCCTGCAATATTTCCTGTAGCAAAATGCCAAATTTGCAATGACTTCATCAAACAGTGCTAGACTCCAAGTGATCCATTATACATTTAATGAGTTAGCATTTGTCCCACCTAAAACATTTTGAAAATAGTTTCTGACCAAGCTATTTTTCTTTACATCAAGTTTATGTCACTCCTCAGTGTTATGCCCTATGTAGTCCAGACATATTTGCTATTATGTTTCTGTTGAACTTCATTGCTTTTCACTGCTCGGAAGCCCTTGACAGGCCACTATAAAGTCACAGAGACCCTTGCCAAGTCTCTATAAAAGCAAACTAAAACAAACCAAAACAGACAAATAAACCAAAAAATCTTTCCAGTTGGAGTTTCCAAACACTATTGATCACATTGCTGTAGTAAATACAAAGTGAGTTCTGCTTCTTTTGTGTTTGCATTTTAATAGTGACATAACAATTCAAATATCAAGCTCTTTGTATGTATAAAATACATGGCTACAGCGGGGAATACACAAAGGTGAACTCTCAAGGAAAATATAAACAGATGATGAGTTATACAATTTAAAGGAGAAAAGATAATGCTGGGGAAATTTCTTGGAAGATATGTGTTCAGAGATGGGAGCTTGAGATCGAACATGTCAATAGGTGAGGTTAACAGAGGTCACACTTTGCAGTTGAGTAAATAGCTTGAATAAAGAAACAGAAACATGGTCTTAAAAATTTAATTTTAACTGAAGTTTAAGATTCAGATAGAGGCAATTGAAGATTATGATAAAAAGATAGGTTGCATCCTATGGTAGAGAGGTAAGAATATAAACTTCAGGAGGCTGGGTAATACTATAAATTTGAAGGGTTTCTGAAGATGCTTGAGTACAAAAGAGCCATTATTTATGCTGCAGAAGTTTCATCTTATTGGTATGTGATGTTTGGAGTAAGAAAGCAAGTTAGGAAGCTACTATAATACATGAGGTAAAAGGGAACGAAGGTCAGTACTCTGGTGATAGAAGATGAGTCAAAAAGAAGAAAAGATAACCCCTGAATAAGACAGTCTAAGTGAGATACATGAAACTGTGATTAATACAGACCATATACTGAGTGACGGGGAGTGTGCGAGGGGACAGGCAGTGCTGTATTGATAGCACATATTTACATGAAAGTAGACACTAGGACCCAACAGTGAAATGTTGAATGTATTGCAAACTTCTCTGCTATTACTTTGAACACTTTAAATCAAATGCATATTTTTTCTATGCATCTTTGTTTTTCCTATATTAGAGATGAAGAAAAAGAATAGTATCCTGAAGTACAAATCAAAGCATTTCTGTCTAGGTTATTTTGTTAATGATATGTTACTTATTAAAAGGGCTTTCTTATCAAATAACTTTTTATTATTTCTAACTGTAGGGGGTTGTGTATTTAGACAAAGAGAGGAAAGAAAAGGAACTGTGAACAGAAATGAGATGGAGTAAAACCAAATTCTGGAATTTGATTTCTGATTCTCAAACAATTTCTAAAATATTTGTCTCAAAATAAATGTTATTTTTTATTCTTGGATAATGAAATGTACCCTGAATCTCAGAGCCTGTAAATAAGAAGAGCGTGTGTTAACTGCAATGCAGTTAAGCAGAAGGGCTAATTAACAGATTTTAAGACATGGTTCACCTAAATGAAAATAGTTTGGGTCTTCATAAGTCACTGTAATCACAAATGTTTGCATCCATTAAGTGTGTGTAGTTGGTTTGTACAATAAAGTTTTATGGCTTGTTATTGTAATGGCTTCTATTGTCTGCTTCTGCCTCATCAGTCTGGGAGAATTTTGTGAGT